TCAACATGAAAGCGTAAGAACTTAACGGGATTCCCTTCTTTGTTTGTTTGATTCGAAGGGGAAGGGCCCGTTGAGTTCTTAAGAATCATAATATTTTTTTCGTCTAAATGATAAAATGGATTTCTTTTTCTTTTCAAAAACTCCATTTTTCTCATTTTTCTGAGCATGTTTTTGAAAAATTCACTTCATTGAGTTAGTCAGACCACCTCTTCTTTTTATATGATAGTATCTATCGGTACTTTCCAGTACTTTCAAAGTTGGAAGAAAGAAGGAATCACTCAATTTCTTGGCTGCTATCATATATTAGATAGCGTGCAAATCCTTTCTATACTAATCTAATGTAGAACCTTACTCTCTATATTACACTCTCTATATTACATTACTCTATTTATTTTTTATTGTTTTCCTATTTCATCATCAAATTTTTTATAAGATAAGTTGATTGAAGAAGTTTTATTTAATTAATAAAATTTCCTCTCTTTTTTGTTTTGTTTGTCCACCAATTCATATATTATATGTAAGGGGGTAGGTGTAGGGTTTCTGATACATCTGGAAAAATTGAAACCAAGACTAGGAATTTTTAACAAACAGGATCAAGAATCATTACTCTTTCGTTTCGACACAAGAAAAAAGGATTTTTCTACACCCCTTTCTTGTGTCGAAGACTAGGAAGACAAATAATCCCTGCTAGAATTTTTTCTTCCCCGCATTTATCCCCCGCTTCCTTATGTCTAGTATTTAGACAAATTTGACTTTCTTTCTATTTAGAATAGAAAACTATTGATACGTTTTATGGCAGTGAAATCTGGCAATAGTAACATAGTTACACTACTCCAATTAAAAAAAACTAAATCAAAATAAATGAAAGCCAAATACTCTTCTTCAAAATCTACATACTATGTGGTACAAGGGATTCCCAGCATCTCGTAGAAAAAGAGTATGTAATGTAGATTTTGAAGAAGAGTATAAATAAGACAAAGGAGTTTTCATAATTTCATTTTTTTGATCATAAATAATCGCCAACAAGAATTTGGTTCTTTTTACGTACTTGATATCGATAAATCTGCGAATCTAGAAATTCATTTCGGCCAATTGAACCTTCTCGAACTGTTTCTTTTTAAGAACCAAAAAGATTTGTGCCAAAATAACAGATGCCAAGAAGAACAAAAGTCCTTGGACACGTAATGGATCTTGAAGTACTATTTCTGCATCTCCCTGACCAAATCCGCCTACATTAGGATTACTCGTTAATGGTTGATCAAATTTGATAGATTCGCCCTCGGAAACAAGAAGTTCTGGTCCGGGAGGGATAATATCAACCACTTGACGTCCCTCTGACGCATCCGTTATGGTTATCTCATACCCCCCTTTTTCTTTTCGTATGATTTTGCTTACTATACCTGCTGCTGTAGCATTATAAACTGTATTGTTACTCTTGTTGCCGTCGGGATAAATCTGACCCCTTCCCCTGTTCCCGCCTACGTATATAGGATATTTTAAGAAGTGAACATCCTTCTTAGTAGCAGGGTCCGGGGAAAGAATAGGGAAGGTTATTTCACTATATTTTTTACCAGGGACAGGGCCTACCACAAGAATATTTGTTTTATTGGGGCGATAGCTCTGAAAAGACAAATTGCCAATCTTTTCTTTCATCTCAGGAGAAATACGATCGGGAGGGGCTAATTCAAACCCCTCCGGTAAAATAAGAACAGCCCCGACGTTCAACCCCCCTTTTTTACCATTAGCAAGAACCTGTTTCAGTTGCATATCATAAGGAATTCGAACAACTGCTTCAAATACAGTATCAGGAAGTACCGCTTGTGGAACCTCAATTTCCACGGGCTTATTAGCTAAATGGCAATTGGCACATACAATACGCCCAGTCGCTTCTCGTGGATTTTCATAACCCTGCTGTGCAAAAATGGGATATGCACTTGAAATGGACGTCCGAGTTAAGATATATATCATGAGCGATACGGAAATAGATCGAGTAATCTGTTTCTTTAGCCAAGAAAAAGCATTTCTAGTTTGCATGGTCCAATCATTGATCGCGAAAATTTCTACAATAAATTGGGTAGGTCGCTAGTATAGTTCCCTAGCCACGATTCTGCTATTTGCTGGAATAATCTAGGATGAATCTTCCCGATGGTTAGAAATAGGAAGAGTAAATATGATTTTCAATACTTTGCTTATGTACAACTACAAAGTACCAAGCATTCTAATTGGATTAGATTAATATCAATGGATCCTTTATCATTCAGTTATTGAATCATAAATCAGTAAAATTGACGGAGACAGACTAGTTAAATAACGGAAAAGCCAATATTTAAAACATGTATCAAAAATTACTGGAAGGATGCAAACAAGAATAGTTATAGTTTGCTCATTCGCAACAACTCCAACCTCGTTATAGATAGAGCGTATAGCGAATTCCCAACCTGGGGGTGAATGATATCCGAGAAAAAACTCAGTTACTAGAAGAAGACACAAAGCTTTTGCTGTGTCACTTAAGTTATATAGGAATTCCTGAGCCCAAGAGTTAAGAATAACAAGTTTTTCCTTACCCAAAATTGAATACCCGCTTAGAATACCAAACCAGATGATATTTGTTGAGAAGTGCAAAATCGTATCCATACGATTCTCATTTTGTATCGTGATTAATTGGATCGTTTCTTTATGGATTCCTATCCCAAACTCTTCGAGATGTGTTTCCGAGTATTCCTTGATCATTTCGTCCAAGAAGAGGAGTTCCTCTAATTCTCTGAATTTTTCTAGAAGACTCTTTTCTTGAATATTATTCAAGACAATTTGGGATTGCCCAGTATTCCACCAATTAGTAACCCAAGATTCCAGACATTTATTAACTGAGAAAGAAATCCACCAGGGCAAAAATACTATAGATGCAAGATAGAAAAGAGGAGTGAATGCTTTCTTTTTTGCCATTTTTTCGTCTGTAAATTGTTAATCAACCCATTCGTACACTCTATGCGATCGAATATTTCTTACACACATGAGTTTTATACAAGGTATCGAACTTATGAATCTATTTTCTTTGTGATTTTGTGGTTAGTCTTTGAATCTAGAAAGAATACAGAAATAGGCTAAGAATTCACTTCGAATGAAGAAATTTAGAATATTGTTTCCTGATATCTCAATTGGTCAAATTAAAAATAAAGTGTATCCTTTCGATGAATGATCGAAAGAACCACTTTAAGTAATGAATATTATTCAGATTTTGAGACGAAAGAACTCCTTTGCTATCAAAATATCCAATATTTCGAAAAAATTTCACTGATTACCCATAGTCAGGAATAGAATAATTGAGGGAAAGATATTAGGATGATCAAAAAAAAATGACTGGCAAGGGATAAATTGGCTAGTTCTCAGTATTTAATTAAGAAATCCAATTGTTGGTCATTAAAGAATACAAAAGAAAGAATTTCAAAT